TGTAATAATAATTCATGATTGTGTGGCAGCTAAGCATCGGTAGAATTATCGATGTACTCCTGTCTATGATGATGATGATGTGTACTCTTATGACCTACTCAGTAAATAAATACCCTGTCAGAAGCTTCTCTAAGAAAAAAAGTCACAAGATAGTTAGTGAACGATACAGTTAGTGGATTATTGCTGTTTATCACTCGATATTGTTATTAATATTGAAAGGTATTTTTGTGTTGCTGTATTTTTTTGGAATTAGGTTTTTATTTCTTTCTGCTTCTTTTTCCTAATTGTAGCAGCATGTTTATTTTAGACAGTACAAAACTATAAGAAATTGAGAGTGGCTAAAAACTACCTTTCATAAGCACACATTAATCTGATAAAAGAATACTAGCAGACAATGTAAGATCTGGTTATATCATGACACCATATAAAATATATATTTGATTAAATGAAATAGCAAGGATATTTTAAAGTACATTGAGATGTTGTTATTACACTAATAAAAATGGTTAAATCTCAGAACTACATACTTTTTTTTACACTACCATAAGAATAAGCACATCACTTTACTTTTATATTCATGTATGAGAAAAAACATTTTTGCAAACTTTGCAACTGTTCTGTTAAATCCTTCTGTATAGATGCTGTTTCTTAACTGAATTATTTTTTACCGATATGAAGAAAATCTTAATTCTAATTAAGCCTGTAGGGTGAGTTGGCTTAGGGAATTAGATGCCATCAGCTGTAGTGGAGGTCAGCACTCTACTAAGGGAATTGGTAATTTCCTGAAATAATATATGGTAAGGTTAAATTTTTACTTCTCTCTAGGGTTAGTACACAGGGACAGCCTTGAGAGACCAAATGGTTCCTTATTATCTGTACGTTATGTTTAGTTCTAACATTTTAAAACAATACTTACTAAAGAGTTGCACTTCATACCTCAGTTTAACTTGCACTTGAGCTGCTTCAATGTTAGAGTTATGTTGTCCTCGTCTGTCTTTTCCTCGTCTATGAAAGCATAGTTATTAACTTTTACATAAATATTCTAGGTCAACACTAAAGATAAATTTTTTCATTTTTAAAATGTGTCAAAATTAGGATATTAACAAACACAAAATAAATAAACCAGAATCTAAAATATTCTTTCATAACATTTACTTAAACTAAACAGAATTTTGTATACAGTTATAACAGAACGAAAAATGTATCACTTACTTTTTCACTGAAGCTTCAAACACTCCACTGTCTCCTGCCACTGACTCATCACTGTCTGCTGCACACATGCCTTGCCTACTAGCCGAGCCAGGATGGCCTGCTATGTCAGGATTGAATCCATGCTCACAGATGGGACTAAGTGAAGCATTTCCTAAAGTCTCACCAATTGGTTCCAGGGAATGCTGTTGTGGAGGAAAAACATATAGATCTTCTGAAGACTGGAGACAAGTTGGAGATAGATTCCCCTTATGATGATGATCCAGTGAAACTGTATTTAAACTGCTAGATGGAAGAATTTCTGGTGATGTAGAGACTAATTGCAGTTCTCCTAACTGTTCCTGGATGTGATTCATATCAATCCTATGCTGTCGTTCCCAATGTACTGGTTCAAAGGTAGGGTCATATGGTGAGAATGGTGGAGATACAGATGACAGTGATGAACGAGGAGAGAGAGATGGCCCTCTTAAGCCTGACCCTAATGCTGGAGAAGACAAATCATCACATGCTGCTCTTGAGCTGATATTTTGTGTGCTGCCTTGCTGTATTTGACAAACTTGTTTGTGGATATCTTCAAGAGATAAACTGACAGCAATTGGGGGGAGTCCATAGATGTCTGTGAAACTGAGACTACTTAATGATCCTTTGCTGCTTGTAGATAATGACTCAGTGCTGAGAGACCCAAGGGAACTGCTAGATGACACTGAGAGTGTACTAGCAGAGAAACTGAAACAAATCAAAAGCTTTCACTGAGGAACTAGCTTTCACAGAAACACACAACAAAAAATGTATAATACAGTTAGTAATATATAATGTAAGGGATTTTGCATTATAAACAATCTTTATAGTGATTGTAGCCATATTCTGAGATATTAATATTTGAAACATTATATTCATTTGTACAAATGTAGAAATTACAGTCAAAATCTACCACAAGTGATCAAACGAACATCACAAATAAGACAGTGGTGTGTCAATAAGCTTAAAAATTTTAAAGTTAATCATAGTTTTCTGATCTTATTTAAACAAATAATATATCTTTGGTGTAACACTTTATTGAAAATTGTATATATCACCTTTCTTATTTAACGTGGCTCATGAGCCGATTACCAAAAAATGGAAATAAACTGGTAAAATAAATATTTCTTCAAATATTTTCAGATAAAAGAGAAAAAAAAAATCAATTGATTTAAGTTCATTTCTATTTTTCTAAAGTTGCCTCCCAGTGGAACAGTGACATGTCTGTGGACTTACAATGCTAGAAACCGGGTTTCAAATCCCATAGTGGGCAGAGTGCAGATAGCCAATTGCATAGCTTTGTGCTTAAATTACAAACATTTTCTAAAGTTACAAAGAGATTATGTTGACATCAAGAAATAGCACTCTCCAATGAAATTTTTCCTTAATCCAATATTTATTTACCTTTTCAACTTTGACTCTAAAAAAGTCGTGTGACGTATTGCATCTTTTAGTTGTTGCAACAAACTGTTTTTCTGTTCATGAAGTCTCAATCTACAAAGAAAACGAATAAAGAAGAAATATTCAAACATACTTTCTTTACATTTAAAAAAAATTATGTCAAAAATAAATGAGTAAATTCCGAGTTTAGATCTAACAGAAAACAAGTATTAATATGAATACTTCTATGAAAACATTAAATCCTATACAGAGTTTATTTCAGCTACAAGAAAGATCTAAATGGTAAAGCATGATATCATTATAACGAGGAGCTCATTTGTGAATGATTGCCTTCAACATGGAGGGAGATGACATCTGGGTAAAACATACTGACCCAAGCAAAAAAAATAAAGTTAAAATTAACTTCTATATTCAACTCAAAAATTTTTTAACCTCTCTGCAATGGCCTTGTTTGACATTTCTCTGGCATTTCCTACATCTTCTTCTAACTTAGAAATTTCTGCTTGAATGGAAGCTATCTCATTTTGGCTTCTTTCTTTTGTGATACGACTTCGAAATTCTCGTAGCAGTTGCTCTTTTTCCTGAATCAGTAGTAGCCTGAAATGGTTAAATGAATAAATGCTTACAGCTTAAAGATCACAATATCTGTGATTTATTTTTTATAAAGAAAACAAACCAAAACAACATCTTGAAGAAAGGCTTAAACAGAATCATTGAAGGGTTAGAATATAAAAATAATATAGCACGGTTTAAACTGCCTGATGAAGGGCTTCTGCCCAAAACATTGCAAACAATAATAAAGTTTTCATCACAGATGTGCGTTTTACACATTTTGAACACTTTTTTATTATTTTTTATGTTTTGTGGTCTTTTCTATTGTGTGTTTAATCTTGAAGAAACTTGTATAAACTTTCTGGTGAAAAATAGAACTCACTTATAATCTGTAAGCTTGTAAAGGTTTTAAAAGCACTAAAATAACAAACTGCAGAAATAATGTATGTGTGTGTGTCTGAACACTTGATGTTTAACAAAGTATATTTTCCTCCCCTCAATATCACATTTTCCTTGCAATTGAATAGTTTATTGCAAGACATTGGAATTAAAATGAGTAACTTGCATGAACAGACAAAGGTTTTTGATTATTTTGTTTCTTTAAGTAATAACTTGCAAAATGCTGAATACAGAGATTAATTACTGAAAATAACAGATAAAATATAAAGATTTTTCTTAAGAAATGTTTGATAACTATCCAAACATGTGAAATTTCAAAATTTTCTTATGCATAAAAGTATTTTTAATCTTAAAATGAAAATTAATTTGCATGATAGATAGGCAAGATGTGAAAAGAAAAAAAAGGCATGTGAGAAATATTGATTTACAAACTTTAAGACTTAATAAAAAAACTAGATATTTTGCATATGAAAGCATTGTAATGTTTACTGATAATCTGCCAAATTTTGTTAACATTTGGTTAC